TGAAGTGGTATATGTTATTCTTGTTACTTATATGACATCTTCTTGGTATTAACCTTTGAATATATCTTGGGCAGATTGTTCTGTCCGGCTTTGCAACAGGAGATGAACATTTAAAGCTGACGACTACCTTGTTCAAGAACATCTTTCCAGATATTGATATTAACACTGTGAGTGCTTAGACAGTATCATTTCAGTTCCAAACCTACTTTTCTTCTTCCTTTCACCCTTCTTAACACTGTCTTAACATGAATGTTTCAGGTTAAACTTTCTTCCTGCCAGAGAATCGTGTTACTTAATTACAACAAAGACACAAAGCTTATTGATTTTCGACATTATTCTATCGGACTACAGCCTGTTGGTGTCTCCCGGAGAATCAGAAAATTTGTGCAGAACCATCAAGTACCTGATCTTAGGAATCTTCAAGATGTGAGCGACTTTGTCACTAAGTGAGTATCCTTCTTTATGAGCTATATATAACTATAGTACCGTTTTTGTTGATGGACTACTCATTTTGAATTATATAGTTCTCCTCACTCCTTTTGTTTGTTATATCAAGAGCTGGTTATGGATCAGAAAGTGAAGCTGATGAGGAAGCTGCAACAGTTACTCTGACTAGTGATCTTAGTAGAGTTAATCGAGCATCTACAAAAAGTGCTGTCAAGCTTCAAGAAATTGGACCTAGAATGACTCTCCAACTCATCAAAGTTGAGGGTGGACTATGTTCTGGTGAAGTTATGTTCAGTGAATATGGTATGCTCATCTATCCTAGCAATTTTTGTCTTCTTTACCAAAAAATGGGGAAAAGAAGAAAAGAATAAGAATTAAAAAAAAAAAAAAAAAAACTCTCTTAACCTTTTCTTCTACATGCCATGTTTATTCGCTGGGACATTTCAGATTGTAAATCAATCTGTCCTATACAGTACCTTTATTCAACTAACATCTTTTTTTATAACTATTCTCTGTTTATCAGGAAATGGTGGCAATAAGAAAAAGCCAAACAGTCAGGAAGATAATGAAAGGGAAGATAGTGAGAAAGATAACGAAATGGAAGGTAGTGATGAAGAAAACGAAGAGGAGGATAGTGATGAAGATATTGAAGAAAATGAGGAAGATGATGAACAAGATTAGTGCTTCAGCAAAATGGAAGGGTTACAACTTCCATTGGTTCATTAAATCACATGATATGCATAATTCGTCGTGCTCGTTACATGGGAAAGATGCTGCCTTAAAAGTCAGAGAGATCCTCCATCATTAAGGGATCTCATCAGCTTTCATGCCATTTAGCCTTTTGTTTTCCTTTTTCCTTTCCCGTTTTGTCTTTTCCTCTTAAATTTTTGCTTACACTTGTTGTAGAAGATCCAATATATTCTGATATGAGAAAGAGAAATACAATCAGTGTCAATATTTTTAATTTTCCTTAGACAAGTGAGAAGAGTTCTGATGTTATTGGAAGAAATATATCTGATGAAATTCAAAACTTTTTCCACCCTTTTCTGATTGGGATTTATGAAAAGAAAACATGCTTGTTGACAGATTGTTCAATTTCCTGCACTCCAGGCTTTGATACAGTGTAGAATGCACGATACTAGAAGGCTTGTTTGCTTGTGGGGATTTTATATAAGTAATAATAAACAAGTAGAGAACAAATTCATGTTTCCCTGTGGCGATTTCATGTAATTGTATCATTCAGCCAATGCTTTGTAACTTGTAAGTATCGTGGTACAGAACTGAAAACTTATTAATGAGACAAACCCTCATCAACCAAGGCTACAATTCTCACAATTGTTTCACTTTCACTAAAATTTTGAGCAACGAATCAAAATGGTTTGCTTGGATGGATGATTGATGACTTAAACAAACAGAAAAATCTTCTACCAAGTAACCAAAACAGAAAAACCCAAGGGTGAAATCTACCCTTATAGCAGACAGCCTGAAGCACATAACCAAGTAACCAAAACAGAAAAACCCAAGGGGTGAAATCTACCCTTATAGCAGACAGCCTGAAGCACATAACAATAGTTTCTGATAATGCGCCCAAGGTTAGTCCTTCAATTTCATGCAGATTTTCTGATGATCTCTTCGGATGGGATCTCCAGTGTAGCTCCTGCATGCTCCTTACTCGGCTTCACCTCTGCAGCAATTGAAACAGCAATGTAAATCAACAGAGAAAGAGAATCCCATAAGAATCTTACAAGCTAAGGCTAAGAAAACGCGATATAGAAAGATATATGAAGAATTGAAAGAGGACATCAAACAGACAATCCATCGAACATGTGGTAATCATCGAAAGCAAAACTCGTATAACCAAACTCAAATAAGAGATGGATGTAACATTCAGGATGCGATGCAATGCAACGCAATAATGGAAATGATGATATACATACCGTAGCCGCCGCGGTCGTTGAGCTTGGCTTGAACGATCATGGTGGAAATGAAATGGGAGGCCTCACGTGCTTCATCCAGGAGTCTCTGGATCTCTGGCTCGGAGGTCACGTGACGATTCTCGCTGAATTTCTTACGGACCTCGGCGGCGGAGGCGTTCAGCATCAGGGTGTCGCCCGCGAATGATTTTCGGGTCGCTCTTAACAGAGCCCTGTACGCGCTTAGTACTTCTCCTCTTACCATCTCTGTCTCACTCTCTATCTCTCTGGGAGTCTTCTTTTTCTCGTTCTGCTTGCTAGCATTTGCAACTAACTTGACACGCTGTCGTTTCTTGGTTATAATTAATTAATTAATTAATTACCACATTGTTCCCTTGGCGCCCTCTCCTCTACTTAACATCATTCTGTCCATGGTGTAAAATATTACAGAAAGGAGATAACAGAGAAAGGGAAAATACGAGAATTTTAGCAATTAGCTTTAAGGCGCATATTTCTTTTT